GTGCGGCTGCCATTCACCGTGACGAAGCATTGCTTCGACATGATCTGATCTCCATAGACTTCTTCAATTACCCCAGTATCGTTGGGGAACCGCATTACTTGGTGGTAGGATGACGTCACCGATCGCATGACATGTAGCCATGTTCTGCCCAAGATGATGTTGTAAGTGGAGGGGACCTTTAATACCCAGAACTCCACTTGTTTTGTCACGCTTCCTGCTCTGACTAGAAGAATTATTTTGCCGATGGGCCATTCTGGCATGGACTTGAATCCAATTAGGAGAGATACAGCTGGCGTCAGCTCTTTGTCTTGTAGCTTCAATTGTTTAAATGTTTCGTAGTACATGATCTCACATGAACTACCCTAGTCAATCAGAATCCGCTTAACGTCAAAATCCTTAACTCGGAGAGTGACGACCAGGGCATCATTGTGAGGACAATATATCCGTTCCAAGTCTTTATCCGAAAAAGACATGACGTTTGTGGCCTCTGTTTTCCCCTTCTTGATGGCAGGTTGGGCACTTAGCACCTCGCTTAAGTGTTCAGCCTTTTTGATTGATCCCCTGAGCTCGCATATACGTTCAAGTTCAAAGACTCCATGTATCACATTGATAACGCCTTGAGGTGGGGGATCGATTGGCATTCCGTTGGGGTTGTTATGGTCCTGGGGGGCTGGTTGGGCCCCTCCTTCGATGTATTTATCCAGGTGACCTGTTGCCACCAACTCCTCTAGGTGCTGTCTTAATGGCGTGCAATTTTCAGTGTGGTGTCCCTTTTCTTTGTGGAAGGTGCACCGTGATCTTTCGTCATAATCCTTCTGCGCTTCCCTTAGTTTGGCTGGCCATCTGACGAAAGGCTCATCTCTTATTTCACTTAGAATTCGGTAGATCAGTTTCTTGAATACCGTGGTTATGGCCGTGTGGACCCTCAACCATCTCTTATCTGGGTCCTCTTCGTTGTCTCGCCTACCACGTCCGTTTCTGTTCTGTCGATCTACTGCATTGACCTTTGCTGAGGTCTTCTTTTCTGGTACTGTGGTCGTGCCAGATTTTGTTTTGGCACGTGCGCCATCCTCTTCAACCCTAATGTGCTGATGCACTCATTCCATCAAGGCTTCCATGGTTAGGGGTGGTGTTGTGGTGATTGAGTCCCTTAGTCTATTCCCGACTGGAAGGCCTCTTTTGTACTATGTAATGGCGAGATTGGTGGGGCAGTCGCCAATTTGGTTGAATGTCTCCCAGTAGAGACTATTGTAGGACCTTAGCGTCTCTTTTTCACCCATGTCGATGGAGAGTAACTGGTCAATCTCCACCGAGGTTTTAGTGTTTGTTCTGAACCTTATGACAAATGCCTCTGCCAATTGCGCCCAGGAGGCTATGCTGCCTTCTAGAAGTTTTTCAAACCAAGTCAAGCCTAGATCGCCAAGCCTTGACGGGAAGAGGATGCACATTAGAGCCTTGTTTCGCTGATATACCGCCATAACCTGGCAGAAGTGGCTTAGGTGAATGTAGGGGTCCGTCTTCTCCTCGTACGTAGTGAATTTGGGCTAAAGGAAGCCTGTAGGTAGGGGCGCGTTTTCGATTGCCGGAACGAACGGCGAGGTTTGCAGCCTCGCTAATGCTTTGTCCGTCGGTTCGTAGGCAGGGCGTGGTAATGGCATTCTAACCTCGACGCTTCCATGCGATCGAGGAGCCAATCGTTGAAGGGCAGAAACTCTGCGAGTGTGAGGGTCAACTCTGTTTGTTTGGATGATGTTTGGTACGAGTGTGAGGGTCGGTAGGTACTCCCTTCTGTGTAAGACCTCAATGATCTCGTTTTCTCAGACATGGAGTAACGAGTTCTTGAGGTTCCAGACTGAGTATCGCCTGTCCTGAGGCTTCTACTTTTTACTTGTGATGGCGTTGAATGCCTTCCATGGTCTTCTGAGCGGCGAGAGGGCGTCTTGTTTTTGCGCCCCTCTCTTGTCGCCACTCTTTTTTCCTTCATCTGGCGCTTCAAGGCTTCCATGTCGGCCGCCATCTTCCTTATTAATTCATCTTGCTCCTTCACGCGGTCCTCCAGAACTTGAGGATCAATCCTCCGCCTTTGCCTGTCAGGACTTTGTGAATGAGAGTGACGGGGGCTGTGAGTCCGCCTCCCCCTAGTATCTCTCCTGGCGTTGTGTCGTTGGGGCTCCAAGTCCGCCATGGCAGGGATAGAAGGTAATCCTTCACACCTGGCCCCTTCATCTGGTGTTTGCCCGTCGATGGCAGACTGTGGTAATTCTTCAATGTGTGTCATTGTTCCTAAAGAGGTATAGCTTGATCAAGATGTTTTGTCTTGTCTGTTTTTCCCACAGACGGCGCCAATTGTATGGGAAAGAAATAAACCTTCTCGTATAATCCTGTTGATCAAGTATGCGCTCCTCTGTATGTCGTCGCTTTATCACCTAAAAATACAAATGTGAGCTAGCCGGCGGATGTGTGTCGGAAACCTCTCCGATACCTAAGTCAGCAAGCTTGACAAATAGACAAAAGTTCTGTGTATTTAGAAAGCAAAGTTGTGTGTTACCTCTCCAAAGGTGATGTTTGTGAGCTCTTATAGGTTTCGTGTGGTACAATCCTAGTAGGACTTTTACTTCTCCATGCAGAGTCCTCCTAGGATTCATACTCCTGAAAGATAATGCTTATCCTTCAACACCCCCCTCACTGCTTAAACCAAGTGAGATAGTTTTATCATAGCCGAACTCTAATATGACCGAAGTAAACATGACTATGCATAGCCGCAGAATAAGCCGAACTAGCTCTTCCTTTTTCTGCTCTTACATCAGCTTCTCATGCACAACCCATGGCGTAGACCGAACTAACATATCATGACCGGTGTAACTCCAAGACCGGTCTAACTATAAAGTACTGTTAGACCGATCTAACTTCGATCTTCTGTCGGACCGGACTAGCTTTACGGCCTTAGGACCGGACTAACTTCAAAATATCCACACGACCGGAGTAACTTACTTGGCCATTTTACTCGGCCCTTTGTACTGCGGCTCATAATGGCCCATTATCCAGCTCGGCCCAATTTTTACATAAATTACCCTCTCAATTCGATATGATCTAAACAAGTTGTTTTTTTTTTTGTTCAACTCTATAAGATTTGGGCGACGACTTTCAGGAATAAATATGTTTATATATTTTTGTATTAGGGCTACGAATTGGTGCACTCCTTTTGGAGTTTTTAACACTTCTTTACTTTGAATTAGGAATCAATTGTGAAAAATTAATGAAAATTTAGGAAAGGTTCCAGATATTAACAGAATGATTTCATAAAGTTAAGATAACAACTATTTGCAAGCTGCCTCCTGAATTCTTATGAGTCAATTTATACTAAAATAGCAATAAAAAAAAAATTTAAAAAAAAATCTAAAAGGGGAACTTTGTTGGTGAGAACATTTGCAAATTTTTAATAATCGAAAGGTTACTAAAACTTGAAATGTTAATAAATAAATAAATAAATAAATAACAAATTAAATTTACAAAACTTTATATTTGAACTAACAACACACAACAAAAATTTCACCCCCATCTCTGATGTGAGAAGTAGAAAGGAAATAAAAAGAACTTCTAAGGTAAACACACAAGCCTTGGATTTTAAAAAATTAAAATTAAAACTAGTCTCATGAATATTATGAATGTTAGGCTGTTTTAGTTTTGGCTATATTAATAGGTTAAAAAAAATTTATTTGGAAAGATTGGTGAATTTTTTTGTAATTGGATGTAATATTTGTGAGAGAGAAAGTAAAATAATTATGAGTTTGATATGACATTTTATCTTATTAATTATTTTAACCTATTTTGTATTTTTATGAATTTTATCCAAAAAAAATAGCCCAAACCCACTGGCCAAACATGGCTATATTTTTCTTTTTTAAAATTTTAAAAATTAATTTAAATATTGTTGTTAGAAATATTATTGTAGATTGAAGATGGCACTATGCCAAGATTTTCCTCTAGCCTTGGCTCACAGAATGCATTCTATTTACCTATGTTGCCCCCTTAATTTAGATAAGGGTTAACAATGAACCATTCAAAATCAAATAAAAAATTTGCAAAACTAAAGGGACATAATTAAAATTTTAAAAATTAGACTGAAACTTACCACATGAGACAAATAACATGTGATTATTGATAACCTTTAACTTCACTTTCTTTAGTGGTCTTTTGGGAACACGAACGCTGTGTTCAGCCCATCCGAAAAACGCAACATGAACGACTAAAAACGTAGAACACCGTTTGGAAACTTTAGCAGGAGTTTTTATTTACACACATCAAATACATTCTTTGTATATATTTAATAATATTTATTTTTATTATAATTTTATCCCTAAGTAAAATTACTATTTTAGACATCATACCCAATTCAAATAAACAAATGTCTCAATACACATCCAGACTTCACATCCATCTGTTGTTCAAGCTGTTTAGCTCCAAGTTCGTAGCTGCTACTTCTTCTATTGAAACTGTTGAAGCTCCAAATCCATTGAAGCTGTTGAAGCTCCAAGTCCATTGAAGCTGTTGAAGCTATTGAAGCTCGAAGTCCATTCATAACTTTCCATTTTCAGTAGTTTACACACTAACGTCATCCTCATTCATCATTGTTATGGAGGATTTCTCTTCTGAAAATTCAGATTTTCATAAGCAAATAAATGTTTATGAGAAAGATAGCTAAGGAAATGTGAGTTTTGCAATGTAAAAGTCTTGTTTTTTTTTTTTTTTTTTCAACGTCGTTCGGATAACCAGAGCCGAATTATATCATTTTGTTCAGAAATCTACTACCGAAATAAGTATTTAATTTCTGAAGTTGCTGTCCGAAATACGTTAAATTTTACAACATTCAACTTCCAAAATTTCAAAATTAATTCGAACAACTATTTCTGAAAATTAGCATTTATTTATTTACAGTTTCAAATTGCAAATTAATTTTTATAATGCCATTAAAAATTTGTAATGTTGTACAAAACATGTAGGAATATGTGTCAACTCAAGGAAGTCAGGTTTGCGCGGATAGTGTGTTGGATTACACTACTCAATTTACAACTGAACAGGTTCACTCTACGAAATTATAATGGTTATGTTTCGAATTGCTCAACAAATGTAAATGTTTGATAATATTTATTTGACTTTGTAGGTATTCAAAAGTAAGGATGAATTGCTCAATTGGGTATGTGAAGTTGGAAAAAGAAATGGTTTGGTCATTGTAATCAATACATCAGACTATGGTGGAGAGAAAAAAAGACCCAGGATGTATCTTGCTGGTGAGAGGAGTGGCCAATATAGAGCGACAAAGAAGTTAAAACATGACGGCAACAATACATCAAGAATAACCGGTACGAAGAAGTGTGGTTGTCCTTTTAATATGAGGGCTCACAGGTTTACCACACATGATGAATGAACATTGACCGTAGTATGCGGATTGCATAACCATCCACCTGCAGAGCACCTTAAGGGACATTCATATGCGGGGAGGCTGTCAAAGGATGAGGAAGCATTGCTAATGGATATGTCAAAGAGCATGGTTCAGCCAAAAGAAATCCTAATAACCTTGAAACAGCGAGATGCTTTCAATGTAAGCACACTTAAAACCATTTACAATGTACGCCATCGAAACAAGGTGGTACAGAGAGCTGGAAGATCACAGATGCAACACTTATTGGGTAAATTGGCCAAGTATAATTACATTGAGCGCCATCGATGTGAAGAGTCCACGATGACTGTGACAAACTTGTTTTGGGCACATCCTACTAGTTTGGACTTATTTCAGTCTTTCCCATGCATATTAATTATGGATTGCATATATAAAACCAATAGATATCGTCTTCCTCTTCTTGAAATTGTGGGAGTGACATCAACTGAAATGACTTTCTCTGTAGCTTTTGCATACTTACAATATGAGAGGGCCGATAACTATGCGTGGGTGTTAGCTACATTGCGTGATATGATGGATGGTTTTGTTTTGCCATCAATTATTATTACTGATAGAGAGCTAGCCTTGATGAATGCCATACAGAAGATATTCCTAAGTGGCAGACATTTATTATGTCATTGGCATATCAGTAAGAATGTATTGACCAAATGCAAGAAAATGTTTGAAACATAGCAGAAATGGGAGAAGTTCAACCATAAGTGGAACTTTTTAGTATATTCATCTTCTGAAATTCAATACGATGAGCGTCTTAAATCATTACTTAAGGAATTCAGTAGTTATCCGGATGCAGTAAACTACGTCATGGATACTTGGTTGATTCCTTACAAGAAGAAATTTGTAGCGGCATGGACAGACACGTGTATGCATTGTGGCAATGTTACAACCAACCGGTAAGATTACTTTTGTTCAATATGTTATTAATAAGTGCTATGTGGTTGATTTTAATTTCACTTACATTGAATTGAACAGGGTTGAGAGTGCACATGCAAAACTTAAAAGACAATTGGATTCATGTCAAGTCTCATTTCAGGCATCATTTGAGAAAATACACAGTCTGTTTGAGTTGCAACACACTGATATCAAGGCTTCATTTGAGAAAAATCTAACTGTTGTGCAACATCAATTTAAACCTTCTCAGTTCAGGGAGCTACGGGGTAATGTGTCTATCTCTACATTAGAGTATTTGCTTGTAGAGAGTAAGAGAGCCAATTCCATTGGTATTGATGCTAAAGCTTGTGGATTCGTCATTCGCCATGCTCATGGTTTACTTTGTGCCCATGAGATTGCTGACTACATTAGACAATATCGTCCTATACCATTTGCTACCATACACTCACAGTGGAGGCAATTTCATATCTCTATATGCAACAAAGAAGAGGAAACAGAGGTGACTTGTCATGCAGAAGTAGAGTTGTTTGTGAAAAAGTTCAATGAAAGTGATAGAACCATGCGGTTGGAGCTTTTGAAGAAGTTGAAAGAGATTCAATGTGCTGACCTTCAAGGACATGCGTCATAGCCTCGATAGCCTGGTAAAGTCGATGAGGATGTCGAATCCCGTCCTTATAACCAACCTGAATAATAGGATGTGCAATCTGCAGTGCATGTGCAATATGCTGCATTTGAAAAGAATATCACATTTTAAGGAACATATCAGAAAATAAAAAATAAGTTACAAATGCATAAAAGAGGATAATATATTACATCGGCATGTTGGTTGAAATCCTGATGGTCATGGACACGTGGTTCATCACTGTGCTCAACATATAGGTGCGTGATATTCTTATACCAATTTATGTAACCCGGTACACATTCCCAAGACTGACGAACTGGTGTGGTTCTCCGCTGCTCAGATAACACGTGGTTATCCCAAGCCTCCCAGATCCTATCCAAGTATCTATATATGACTGTATATCGTGCAAATATGTTGCCTCGAACACCATGACTGGGAGCTAGCGATGCATCTGGGATGGTTTGAACCCTGCCAAACTGCCTCAGAACTCTATCTGGATGATAGGGTTTGACCACATCTAAGCACTTTAAGCATCCATGGTAGAACGTAACCGGGTTATATGGATGCCGATCTCTGCAACTGTGGTATGGATCCCAAATAACCTGTAAACGTAAAATGTTTTTGAATTAAAGTATATAAAGGGTAAGATAAATGGAAAGTGTTAAAATTATCTTAGGACGAGTAAACTTACATCAGTCGCTACCAAATTGTTAAGCTCTGCTCGAAAAGATTTCAAATGATCAATGGAGGAACCCGCCTCTCTCCTAGATGCCCAATGGTACACGTGTGGCATGTCTTCATTATAGCCCATGTTTTGGTGAGGTTAGAATGCTCGGAAGTGCTCATAAATCCACGCCTCCAAAAGAGTCATATAACCACCCATCTGCTTAACACCGGACTGGCTAGCATACCCCAACTATCTATATAAAAATGCTAATGCAGCAGCACCCCAGGCATAAGTATGAATGGATCCCAAATCCATCAATAAGCCAAGCTAAACAACAGGAACCCTGTCGCCACTCTTGTCACTGAAGATCGTACATCCCAACAGAAACAACAAGTAAGCTCTAGCAGCGCACTGTATAGCCTCCTCTGAGTCTGAATCTGTGACACCAGCAAACTGACTTCGTAACCACTCAAGCCTGACTAAATTCCCACCAGCAGTAGAAACCTCTTCGTGTGTTACACGTTTAGTAATCCCCAAGCCAGAAACTAATAGTGTAACTCCATGATGATCCGTCGCATCTGGTACGCTGACTGATCTGCCTACAATGGGAAGGCTAAGAATAGTGCCAACATCATCTAAGGTCAAGGTCATCTCACCAACTGTCATTTGAAATGTGTTCGTCACAGGTTGCCATCTTTCAACAAAACTGGAGATTAGAAGCTTGTTGACGAATTGATAAGTGCAACAAGCTAACTGTGACAGCCCAGACTGCTCAATAATGGCTTTGAATCTGGTGTTGTTGTCTACTGACCACCATGGCCATGCAAGGATTTTTGAAGAGTGATTATGACACTTTAGGGGCCCTTGTTCCTATAACACAAATGATATTTCATTAGAAACTACCACACAACACACACACACACACACACACAAAAACTCATATACAAATTAATTTAACTTCTACTCATGAATGTTTACCTCCTTATGTCAAACAGCTGCAGCGACATAACTATTGAAACTCCGTAGTATTGATGGATCAGTCGGTCCACCTGGAAAAGCATGAGTAAGGTACTCTTCCTGGACAGTAGGAGAATCGGGTAAAGAGGCATCCTCCACGGTAATGTCAGGCATATCATCACCTTGAACTCGTCTTTGGCTTCGGCTTCGATTGGCACTAGGGATATCATATTCTACCGAAACTGGATCAGGACCTTGACCTCGTCCTCTTCCACGCCCTCGTCCCCGTTCATGGTCAACATCCAATTCACGACGTCGTCTATTTGAAGCAATAGGTGGGACACGTTGTTGACATTCAAAATTCATGTTATCTACAAAAATAAATATGTTTAATGACTATACAATTGTAAAAAGAATATACAAAAGAATGGAGGAAAAAAAAAAAAACAAACAAACTATTTGGAAGTTGAAAATCGAAAGTATATATACTGTTCGAAAGTTGAAAACCGAAACACAAAATTCATTTCGGAAGTTGAATGTTGTCCGAATTTAAAATATTCGGAAGTTGACTGTCGAAATAATGAAACATTTTCGGAAATCTACTATTGAAATAAATAACTATTTTCGGATTTCTACTTCTGAACAACTTCCTTACTTTTGGAAAACCAGTTCCGAACAACTTGTTTACACTCCATGGGCGTTCGTTCGTTTTGAAAATGGTAAAAACAAAACTCTACATTACAAATTAAATAAGAATGAGGATTGAAAAGTAAACTCACCTAAATACGAATGAGGATTGAAAATGTGTTGGAATGCTTCAATGGGATGTCTTGATGGATGCAGCTTTGGGGATAAAAACTGTGTGAAGCAGAGAGCTACGAGGGTAATGTGTGAAATAGGGTAATGTGAGAGATGCAGCTTCAATGGGTGTATTTGCACCGTTGGGAGAGCTGGGTTTGAGGGTCTGGGGTGTATGTGTGCGTATGAGGGTAGATGTGGAATAAACCGTGTGTGCAGTGAGTAAAATAATTAGGAATTAATTTTTTTGGTGTGTGCAGTGAGAATGATGTGCAAAGAGTGTATTTGGTGTGTGTAAATAAAAACTCCCCCAATGCAAATTGTGAAATGACGGTACTACCCTTCGTGGTTAGAAATTGTATCCTAGGGCAAAAACATCTCATTTGTGTCGTTGCTATGTGCATCAGTTTTCCACCTCATCGTTACTGTCGAACTGCCCAACAATTGGAGACGAAATCATCCACTACCGAAGCTGCCTTCGTCGTCATCTTCATCGCCATCCTTATTGGTAGGGTAGATCTACAACATCAGGTAAGAACAGAACCCATGTGTCGTTTTTTCTGGTTCGAAATTATTTCGTTACTATATTCGGCGATCTCTTGCACCTCTGCTTTCTTCATCACCTGTATGCCGTTATTGTTGAGGCTTTTGGCTTGCTCTTCACCCATCACCACCTCTATCATGTTCTATTTTGGAGTTATATGTCGTCTGTGTTCTGTTTATATGACAGAACAACAACGCAAAGCTACCTCTCTGTTTGTGGTACTCTATTCTTCCCCCATAGCTGCAGTCAGTGGTGGAGCCAAGAAATTAAATTAGAGGGGGTACTTATTAATTACAACATTGACAATTTTGCAAAAATATTTCATATAAATTTTTACGTTGACTTCAAGAAATATATATATAAAAAATATTATTTGTAACTAGTGTATCATAAACAATATAAAAACAATCATGGATATAAGTTTTAAAATAAATTATATAATGATAAATGAACTTTTTATACAAAATACGAGTAAAAATTTAATATAATAGTAATACTACGTCATCATTGACATGTGATATCACTAATCAATAGTAAAAAAACACATAGAGGATGAACCTTACATGCTAAAATGTAACTAACAATCTAATAAATTTCATATCTTTATTGAGATTAATTATATTTGCATGTCAATAATAATAGACATCACCATTATATTGAAATTTTCATAAATAATAATATGATTTATCATAGTCTCTTTATTCTCAATCAAAAAAACTATTATTGTTATCATAATTTAAAAAATGTCATTGACATTACACTCTAAATAATATTTTTATAAATTTTTATTTAAAATATATTTTTTTATGTTTGCAAAAAAAAAAAAAAAAAAACCCCAAATCCAGGGGGGGCACGTGACCCCCTGGTCACATGCTGCCTCCGCCCCTGCCTACATGAGACCTACATAGTGTGAGTTCTACATCCATATGAAACATTTTGTAAAAATTTTAGTAAAATTTTTAAAATCTATGACATTATTCTTGAGTTTTTTCCCCTATGAATATAGATTGCATGCACCTTTCTGTCTTTCCTTAAATTCTGATTAGTTTATAATATCAATTTTACTAATATAGGCAATCTCATAAAATGTACAATGACAACAAAGAAAGGGGAAAAAAAAAAAAAAAGAAAAGAGCATGTGATCTTGATTCTGATTTAAGAGCTGGAACACTAGTTTAAAAAAAAAAAAAAATGTATGTATATATTTCTTGGATTCAAGTGTTACCCTATCATTGATGCGACTCAATTGGCTTCAAAGTAATTGGAATTTTTTTAATATCCCCAAAGTACAACAACATTATTTTTATTACAATGCCTTTAACACCAGATTTATTTTGTTATGTATGAAAACGATTTTATCTCATGTTCTTGTGAGCTTTGTCCTTCAACATCTACATACTTTCATAATTTTCTGTAATTCATTTACGATGTGTAGATTTACATAGATGTGTAGTTAGAGTGGAGCAGTCCATACGTGGGTTTTGTAGGAGCTAGACAGACAGACATGGCTGTAAGTTTCATTTTTGGTTTTGCCCGTCTAATCATTACTAGATTTGTTAGGCAACATATGCTGAAAATTATCACATTCCACCAACAGAGCAAAAGGGAAGAAAAATCAAGGTCTTAGCATGTGTGTGTTTAACCCAGGTTTCAATCAATTATCTTGATGATCTGTTCACTTACATGAATGTTGATCTTGTGCAAAAGTGTTGTACTTACAATGTCACTGTAATTACTGGCTCATAAGGAACATTTGTTATGTATGTTTTTCTTAATCTTTTTAATATAAAAATCAAGATAAGATACATCAACATAATAGATAGATTAATTGTTTGAGTTTACATTTAAAGTGAAATTGTTTTAAAAATATTGTGTACATTTCAAACTACACAACCTACAATGATATATAGTGGTTTTACCTTTGAAACTAATTCATCGATTTATACGAAGACCATTATCCAGAGATTCATGGTACATAATTTTAATCCCTAATTTCCATACATTATCTTGTACGTCATATGGTGTGGATTTCCAAGTGTT